AGAATAATAAAATCAAAACAAATTTAAAATAAAAAAAAATACATTAAAATGAAAAAAAATAAAACAAAAACAAAAAAAAGAAATTAATAGGTAATAGCTTGTAATTACACCATGTAATTATCAACAACTCACGCCTCCCCTTGTGAATCGGAGAGTGCAGTACACTAAATTACCTGCTAACTAGGTAATTACATGTTCAATCAAACATAACATAATTACACCAAATACAATTAGCAGGGTGGACTTTCCAAACATGCGGTAAAGAATTTAAGTTACACTCCCTCCGTCCACTTTTGTTTGTCATGATTTGTATTTTTAGAGTCAAACTATAAGAATTTTGACTAAATTTTAAGACGTATTTTTCATCATATTAATATGTAATAAATTGCAATTTATAATACTTTTCACATAATTTTTTAATATCTAAATTTTTTATTTAAAGTATCGAATAAATATAATTTAAAAAATTATTCAAATTGACTTTCTAAAAAAATAACATGACAAAAAAAGAATGGACAAAAAGAGTAAGTATTTGCCACAAAAACTATATAGGAAGGGACAAAAAGAATAATCTTAACCCAAATCTTTTGAGTGCACACAAAGGTAAGCTCTTACAATAATCATCGTAAAAAAATAAACTGCATTAGGTATATTTTGTGGGACGGTCGGTATATGCAAGTGATATGAAAGTCGCAAGCGAGATCATATCTTAAAAGGAGTTATAAACTTAAGACCTCTGTTATGCGAGGGGACAAAAGAAAGATAATATTTCTTCAACAAATTCAGATCTGTAGTGGACTCACGAGGCCACCAACTCCCCACCTACCATTCGCAATTGTGTGAAAGGGCTATTAAAATTTTGAAGATTAAAGGAATAAACTCACTTCAACGCCATGGATGATAGTCTGAACAATTTCTGGCACCATTTTTCGCGATTCGTCCATGGATTTACCTTGTGATAAGCCATAAATGAATTCATTTCCTCCAATTTCTCCAACTAAGAAAAGTGACTTGTTCAATTTTTCTGGGCAATCTAGCAAGCAAGAAGAAAAATAATTAATTGGATATATAGTCGTTAGTGCCATTTGCAGAAGCGAATAACAAATAAATCAGTGTAATGAATGAATTACCAGGGGAGCATGTGGTCTGGAAATGAGAAGACATCCAATCAAGTTGCACACTCAATGAACTATTTGTAAGTGCTATATTAACAATGTTCTTCTCTGCCAGGGATTTGGCAGATAAAGCAGTAGACCCAGCTACTGCAAAATTCACACCATGCCTAAAATCTGCATTTTCATCCTTGAACGGATTTAGCAGAGGAAGACCAGATTCCACAGCTGTATATTTTTGAAAGAGAAATTAATCACCATACACATATATCTATAGTAATTGGGGATTCAATTCATTACCTATGAAATCAATGATGAGCATGCCATTAGAACAACGCCCAGTTGCATTCTGGTAAAAATCCATTCCATAAGGAAGTGTTCCACATGACAAAGTAGCTCCACAAAGGGTCTCTCTGATGCAATTGCCGGTATCGGAAAGCGAATCACCAAATTGATATATTTTATCAAATCTGCAATTCAACAATCGTGGATTTTGAAGCTTTAATACTTGTTCAGCTTCGCCTACTTTCACCATTAAAATGAGCAAAGAAAGAAGCAAGGTTACTGTTGTTGCCATGGCACTATTTCAATTTGCCAAGAAAAACTATTCAGCTTATGCACACTACTCCTTTTCAACTACCCTTTTTAGTCTATATAAAAATAAAAAAAAGGAGTATTATATTGTTATAACAAGTAATAAGTTAACTATAAAATATTTATTTTATTTCTAATAAAATAATTTATAATCACACAAATTTATATTATTTATTTTCAACTGTAAATTTTAAAGATTTTCTTTTTAACAAATCAAATTATTTAACGTGATAAAAGAAAACTTATTTTGCTGCAGGAAGTACACGAGCCAGGATAGAATTAGTTAAGAGGAAAGAATCAAAAATAGTCTTTTTCTTTGGATTAATACTCAAAGTGATTCTTAAATTTTTATATAGAGCAGTGATAATTTCTCGTGTTTGTAATATTGGTGTACTTTTGATTCTCATCCAAAATTTTATCTATTTTTTAAGATTGATTTTTATTTATAACCTATGTATGAGATGTGCAATCGTTATTTTATATATTTAGTAGAAATAACAACTCCATATAAAAGTATGTAACAAGAAAATTGCTTTGTTTTGTTTAGTAGAAATCATATTGCAGCTAAAGTCGAAAGGTTCATCACGATAATTTCACGTGTAATAGTACAATTTTTTATTTTTCTTCAAAGTCACATGTTAAGATATTCTTATATAAAATTCTGGGTAAAATTAACACTAAAAAATAGACAAAATTTTAGGATAGGACCAAAAGTGCATCAATATTACAACTATAAGAAACTATTAATGTTCTCAACGATGAAGGACTATGTTGAGTCTTTCCTCGTTAGTTAACATTGATTCTCAGTGTATCTAAGTGTCAGCTAATCCAGTTTTATTCTTTTTTTAAAAAAAAGAAAAGAAACGGAAGGGTCAAATATACTGATATACTTTCATTATATTTTCAATCAATTATACCATAGGAGGAACGTATAACTGATTTCTAATAATATATAATAAACTTCAAATATCATAAAGTTTTTTATATAATTCAATTAGATCCTTAAAATTAAATTTGTATCTATTGAATAGTGTTGCTTATTAAATGAAACAGATATATAATTATCTTTAAAATATTGACTTATTAAATATTGATATTTAAATATAATGATATGTTAGTTAATTAGTAAATTATCGATTGGTTTAATATCGAATTAGTGATTAACGAACGATTTTTGAAGATGTATTAGCTCAATTATTTTATACTCTCTTTTACTCACTCAGCAATATATTAATCTCCAATCAAATAAAATAATTTTTTTACCCCCACTTAAATTGGTAATTTTATAATATAAATCCCGATAACAAATATATGAAAATCTAAACACTAACGACACATATTTATTTATCAAATATACTTATGATAATAATGTAAGTACGATAATTTTTTATGCTTAATGATTTATTCAAGAAATTGAATAATTTCCCCTGGCACCAATAAATTGTTAACTATGACTATTGTTGTTTTTACATGTCAGTGTGCAAGAAATTTATGAAAAAATGAATTCATATAGATTAACATCTGAAAAATATTTTATTTTATTTATAAGAAAAGAGATTTTTTGGGGTTGGTGGTTTAAAATAGTACACTTTTGGAGTGTACCTAGGGGACACAATCCCATTAATTAAGCATGTGGCTACCAATATTAATTTCCGCGTGATTCTTAATTAATTGTCTAAACATATCTATTACTTTCTCCGTTTGGTATTATTTATTATAATTTTTATTTTTAAAGTTAAATCATAAAAATTTTGACTAACATTTTAAGATGTATTTCTTTATCATATTAATATGCAAAAAATTGTAATTTATAGTACTTATTTGCAACAAATTTTAAATATATGGAAATAAACAAACCATACAAATAAATTATGAAGAAACATAATTTTATTGATTAAGATAGTGGTACAATTTTGTTGATCCCTTGATTCTACTCTCTTAGAATTTATCCATGATTCGAGGATTGTTAATGACGTATTTCTCGAACTAGGATAATATTGATTTTGACCTCTCTATATGAATAATCCATCAAGTTGTGGAGTATTCGAGATCTTGATCTCTTTATGAAATTTCTGAGATGCCTTTTAAGGAAATTTAGTACCCATTACATAGGCATAAACTAGGGTTTAGGGTTGAGTAGTCTCAAAGAATCCTTATTTGAGTTGAACACAATTTGTAGAATCCCAACTCGAATTGAACGTATCTTGTAGAGTCCCACAAAATTTTAGTGTCTACAAACGCCCCGTGCTTCAAGGCTTGACGGAGTGTGAACTTGTTGAAACTTAAAGACGAGCCTTGAAGTACTCATTCTTTCATCTTTGCAACTTAAGATTTTCATATTTGATTTAAGAGATAATAGATGAAGGGCAAATTTGGTCTCACTGGGCGTGCCAATTTGTTTGCAACAAATTTTAAACATATGGAAAATAAACAAACCATACAAATAAAATATGAAAAAACATAATTTTATTAATTAAGATAGCGGTACAATTCTGTTGATCCCTTGATTCTACTCTCTTCGAATTTATCCATGATTTGAGGGCCGTTAGTGGCGTATTTCTCGAACTAGGATGATATAGTTTTTGACCTCTCTATATGAATAATCCATCAATTTGTGGAGTATTCGAGATGTTGATCTCTTTAAGGAATTTTCGAGATGCCTTTTAAGGAAATTTAATACCTTTTATATAGGCATAAACTAGGTTTAAGGTTGAATAGCCTCCAAGAATCCTTATTTGAGTTGAACACAATTTGTAGGTCCCACCTTGTAGAGTCCCACAAAATTTTAATGTCTACGGTGCTTTTCATAGAGTTTTAGAATATCTCATTTTTTTGTTTAAAACATCAAATTAATTTGATCCAATTTACCTTTAAAAATTAATCAAATTGACTTTCGATAAATGAGCATGACAAACAATTTCGGATGGAGTAAAATAATAATTATTAACATAGTGAATTATCAATTTATCTTTGTTAATTATGAAGTAGATAAATAAAAAATTTAAGATTTTAATTTTTTTTAACTATTTCAAAATAATTAGTTGAGGTTATAATTGATAAAGGGAAAATGGTCAAAAATACCCTCTACTTTAGTTTATTACTCCCTCGTCCGAAATTGTTTGTATATTACGCTTATCAAAAGTTAATTTGACTAATTTTTTAATGTAAATTATATCACATTAATTCGATATTTTAAACAAAAAATTAGATATTCTAAAACTATATGAAAAGTGTTATAAATTATAATTTTTTACATATTAATATGATGAAAAGATACATCTTAAAATGTTAATCAAAGTTTTTATAATTTGACTCAAAAAATAGAAACATGACAAACAAACCGGACGGATGAAATAGTTGATTATACCCCTGCCATTAAAACGAAATTATTTTATACCTTTGCCGTTATCAATTTCATCATTTATACTCTTCAATTGACAAAAATCTGTAAATCAGTAAAATTGACCCGATTTCATAAAATTATCCATTCCCCAAAACCCATGCCCGACCCATGTAAGAACCTAACCCAAAAACATTTAACCCATTTTCCTTACCTTCAACACCATTTTTACCAACTTATTTTTTTCTTCCTTCTAAATATTTTTTCTTCAAATTCCAGAGTCAGCTAGCTCAAAAAATGAAACATCATCATTGTTACCTCACAATCGGAGAGTTTGGAGAAGTAAATTAGAGGGGAGGATGGGGTCGCAGATACTTCTGCAAATGCATAGGGTATTTGGGGAAGACAATACAGAGGGTAGGGATTGGAATCTTCTATTATTGGTTTAATTTTTTTTTGTTGTAATTATTTGGTTAAAATTCATATGCCATTGATTTTCTCCAACTGTTTGTTTCTTGCTCCAGCGACGACGGAAACGACCATGGTTGACTTCTCTTTTTCTCTTTCCTCCGAGCCCTCATACTCGTCTAAAAGTGCTCAGATCTGATCGATTTTTATGTTTAAGGTGATGTTCGACAATATTGTTGACGCCGCGCCACATCTTCCTCTCTTCCCTGCTAATGTTAAATCCAATCAACGAAATCATTGCTCCCGCAATCCTTTGTTTTTTCTGATCAAATTTAATAACTTGTTGTTTTCGCTTTATTTTCTCCCTCATGAATTCTTTTTGAGAATGGATATAGAAAATGTGTTAAATTATTTTGGGTTAAGATAGATGGATGGGTCGGGCATGAATTTAAAATAAGAAATGGGCAATTTTAAGAAATTGGGTCAATTTTGCTGATTTAGGCATTTGTATAAATGGTGAAATTGATAATGGCGAGATATAAATAACTTCGTTTTAACGATAGAGATATAATCAACTTAAAAAGATAAAGTTGAGGAGTATTTTTAATTTTTTTCCATAGATAAAAATATTGTCCTTTCTTATTTTTGTCAAGATGAATAAGTAAGCCAGCAGTAAGGTCCGGAGCAAGAGCATTAGGGTAGGCGATGGCCGCTGCATGATGGAATTTAGCAAGTTGTTGGAAACCGGCACCACCCCCATCCACGTTAATTAGAAAAAAAATGAGGAAAGAAGATCCTTCATTGTTGCAGATACTGAAACCATTCTGGTAGAGTCCGATATTGATCAGATAGAGAAAGTGCACATGTCATATGCCGTGGGCTTTGTAGTGGTCAAACCCGGCTCTGCCCCGTCTAAAGAGCACCAAAATTGAAGAAGCGCGTTTGATAGAACCAGGGTCACGAAAGACGATGGAAAAGGCTGGAATTCGTAGTGGGACGTTCTTTTCATAGATCCTTCGAGCGAGAAAGGTGCTACGTCAGGGCCTCCTCAAGGTCATTTGGATACTATTCATTTCTTCTTCACACTGCTACTCGCTTTGGAGACTAAACTATGTAAATAATATGTAACAGTAACCCAAGTACAAAGCCCCTCTCTTCTTCACTCAAAGAGGCAATGCACCCTTTGTTTGAATGGTACTTGATTCATAAAGAATGATTCTTTTGAAGTTATACGGACTTTCTAAAAAAAAAATAGAAAAAATAGACAAATAATAAAAGACAAGAGAAGTTGCTATACTATTTATTATACATAATTTTATTTTAGAAAGTGGTCTCTTATAACTATACTCCATTATAAAAAAATAAATAAATTAATCTCGTCCGTCTTTCACCTCTCATCTCTTCCCGTCCCCTGCTACAACAGATATGAACAGTTTGTTGGACAAGAGCTCTTCCATACAATTAAACCAAAGTGTTTATTATCTTGAACCACATAAACTTTGCATACATACATTTACCAGCAAAAATATTCACTTATTAACATTTGACACTAGTAACACAACATTAACATATTGAGTGAAACTTTACAAAATAGAGTTCGAAGAGAATAGAATGTAGGCAAATCTTATCACTAACTAGACGTTAAAAGACGCAAAGTATAACTAACTTGAGAAACAAATACATGACCAGAATATAAAAGACTCACACACATCACATAAAGATGCATCTACCACAATCCAATACATTGTTCATGAAAAATAGTGCCAGATCCAACAAATTAAACCCCTATCATTTTGTAATTGGCCACCCAACAATATCAGTTTTTTTTCTCACAAAAATAAATTAAAAGATTTAATTCAAACAAGGCAGTTTAATTGTGGTATTATGTCATCGATTAGCCATTTTGTTAACCAACTGTATGCCCTTTGTGTTAAATGAATTCCATCCCAACTTATGTAACTATTGGGGTCTGCACACGCTTTGACTCCTGGATTACCACATCTCATATCTGCTCTATAATTGTACTCTCCACCTATTCCACAACATGCTTTCAGTACAGAATTTTTGTCGAATCCTGAAAATTTTATTTTACTAAATATAGTTAGTAAATTGCATGAGGTTCTTCACTTTATCTAATCATCCATAGAGCCATTAAAATAAGTTTGGCCATGTGGTCAACTAAGCTCATCCTTTGAAAGACTTATATCTTGACACAAGTAAATCATTAGCCCTTGATGCTTGATCGAGATTGTGAGTCTCTAGCACTTACCAAGAGCAACAACATTTTGTCGAAGCCACAGATAAGCGTTGTAGTAGTCGCCGTAACTGATTGAAATGTTTGGATATTCTCTCTTGAGCATGTAAACTCCTCGTTTCAAATGATTGTTGTAATACATCATAAAATTGTTCCACTCTTTGACGCAACCATACTCATCGTATGTGGTACCAAATATCGTCAGGATAACCGGGTTACAACCAGCTGGAATATTACCTGGAACTACAATTCGAGTAGCTCCAAAACTTATAACTCTCTGAAAAAAATTGAAAAAGTGTAAACAAACTTCAAGCAAGGAAATAGATCAGAACATAACAAATAGCAATGATACTTACTGTAACACCGCGAATAATGGCATGAACAATGTCAGGCACCATTGTTCGCAACTCTTGTATGGTTTTACCTTGGATAAACCCATACGCAAGTTCATCTCCTCCTATTTCTCCAACTAGGAAAAGTGACTTTTCCAAATATTTTGGGCAATCTAAAAAACAAAATTAAATAGAAAAAAAAAAATCAATGTAATAATAACATTAATATCTTATTATAATATAGTACTATAATTCCTTACCCGTAGAGCAAATGGAATTGAAATGAGAAGACATCCAATGAAGCTGCACAGTTAATGTACTATTTGTATAAGACATAGAAATGTTCCTTTCTGCAAGTTGTTCAACTGATAAAGCCGTAGCCCCTGCTACTGCAAAATTCGAACCCTGACTAAAATTTGCATTTTCTTCTAAGGACGGATTTAGGAGAGGAAGACCACATTCCAGCGCTGTACATTATATTATCAGATACAGATATATATATATATATATATATATATATAATGTTGTGAGTTCAACGTATCGTACGTACCCATGAAATCAACCATGAGCAATCCATTAGAACAACGCCCCGTTATTTCTTTCTGGTAAAAATTCATTCCATAAGGAGGGAATCTACACCCAGTATGAGCTCCACAATAGCTCTCTCTCAGGCAATTTCCGGTATCGGAAAGTGAATCACCAAACTGATAAATTCTATTAATTCCGCATTTCTTCAATTTTGGTTCTTCGAGCTTTATTAATAATTCTTGTGCGTTAGCTTGAAGAAACAACGAACTTATTATTGTTATTTCTAGTATCAACAGATGAAGCACCGCAACTCTTATTGTGAATGCCATGATCCAACTTGAAATGTTATAATTAGTACAATACTGTGGTTGGTTTATATAGAGTATAGGGGTAAATAGTGATCAAAGTTAAATTTTTAAAATTATTTCAATTATATCAGTTTCTTGATTAATTTTTTATTTTTTTTTAAATATCATCTCAAAATATACTACTATTAAAATATTTGAAGATATGCTTTAATTCTTCACTAAGGAGACAATAATATAAAACTTTATTGTCGTATTATTTGATCTTAAATATATTACAGGAGTATTTGTATGGGGTTTGTTGTATTGTTTGATAGAGTATCTATGACAGTTTCTTTTAGTTTTAATTTTTAATTAAATAAAAAGTTAATTAAAAATCAAAGACTTAAAGTCGTCTAGTCACTACAAGTCTAGGACTTAGGTTATGTTTATATTTGAAAAATGTTACAAAATATATTTATATATTAAATTCAATATATGGTTACTTCACGGCTAGACGATTCAAAAAAGATCAATTTTTTTCATAAATTAAAATAATCATTACAATTGTTCAGGACGATTATACACCAAAGTAAAAATTTACAATTTTATTTTTAAAAAATAACATAAATCTATTTGATTCGATTAAGTTCAATCGAGGAAAATTCTTAGCTAAATACAACGAGTTGATCAGGCAACAATCGTTACCTTTTGTGTACCTCTGAAAATGACTCATGCATCACTAATTGGTTGAGACGTACTTGGTGAGAACTAGCTAATTAAATGCCAGTATACCAGTAAGACCTCTTCTCTTTCAATTTGTATTAACTAGTAAAAGTAATGTAAAATAATTATTTTACTTATATGACTACATTAATACAAAAAAGTGGAAGTTGTAACATGAAAACAGATAAAAGGGAAAAAAATTACCGGATAAACGTGTATTTTCACGATATAATATAAGTCTATTTATGTTAACTATTTATTTTTCTTTTATTCTATATTTAATTATAAAAATTATAAATTTCATATCTAAATTATCACGTATTAGTTTGATAGCGCTCGATAAGAAATTTAGTAACTTCCTGTGGTATTACCTTGTTTTAAACCATAAAAGCAGTCATCTCCAAGTTTGAAATCTGACTTTTCTAACTATTTTGGGCAATCTAGGAACTGACGTAATTATTATAAATTATGAATTATCGTTATAAACATCGTTATTTTTATTTTTATTATTGTTATTGTTATTGTAATTATTATTATTAGTAATATTGTTATTTTCTTTTATTATTTTTGTTATTATTATTGCTCTTTTCAAAATTATTATTATTGTTGTTGTTGTTGTTGATAATAGTAAAAAAACACTATCATTGTTGCTCCTTTTTTTTTTTAATTATTATTATTGTTATTTTTGTTGATGTTGATGATGTTTTTTTTAGGGAAAATTATGCGGCTAAGTAAATTTATACTATTAAATTAGTCATCATAGCTATACTTTGCCATAATTATCGCTCCCGACAATATTATACATTAATTATGTGGACTTACTTGGAGTTTGTATAATTAGTTATGTTTGTATATGTATAATTTGCCAAGATATACAATACATATATATAATATACAATTATTTAACCTATATACATATATAATTCACATCTCTCCCACTCTCTGCCCTCTCTCTATCTTGCCTCTCTCTTGTCTCTCCCAATCTCTCTTGCTATATATACAAATACATATGTATAAAATACAATTATCTAATCAATATACATATATAATTCACTTTTCTCCCACTCTTTTCCCCTTTCTCTCGCCTCTCTCCTCCATATAACATGTAGTTACGAATTGTAATTATCAAACTATAGTTATGGAGAGTAATTAGACTATTTTTAAGTGTCTATATGTGAAATCTCCTTTTTTTTTTCATAACAGTTATTCATAATGTAATTTAAAGGAATTTGAATTTTTTTTTAGGAAGATAATTTGTGAGATATAAGTGATATGTAAGCACTTGTATAAATCTCTCTTTATTCTGAGTAAATTTATAAGATTATTTATAAGATTATTTCTCTTGATACTTTGTATTTTTTTATATATATAAGTTAATTGTGGATTAGATGGATTAACAAAATCATGTTAAATGTTTGTATTCATTTTGATATGTTTCTCCTTAGTCTTCTTGCATGACTTGTTAAATGTTTGTAACTCTTTTGATATGTCTCTCCTTGGTCTTCTAGCATGACATTTGATTACAATAAAACGTATTTCCTAGAAAGGAATGAAATAAAAACAATTAATTAATGTTATTTTTGTTGTTTAGTACAGATTAGATATTAGATGACACATACAAATAAAAGAGAAGATAAAAGCCGCAATTGGTATTTCTTTTCTTTTCTAGACGCAAAAATATACTCGAATTAAGAAAAAGATTTTTTTAAAAAATAATACTCTACTTATTTGATATTGTTAAAAAAATTACGCAAGTAAAACGATCAATTGATTTTCTTTTCATTCTAAGCCCCAAAAATAATTTTTTTTTAAAAAAAAAAGAAGAAAAAGCAAAAGTATAATATTCTTGGCAACTCTTTTATAGATTTACCTTGCTTAAAGTGATAAGTGATTTCATAAGAGGAAGACCACATTCCAGCGTTGGGTATTACGTTACGAATAGAGTCATTAATATGCACTATGCCTGTTAAATCGGTTTGGCTTAATTCGTGATTTAATAGAGTTGAGCTAAAATTTTTGCAGCTCATTTAAGAAAAAAAATTTTAGTCCGGCCTGAATAAGCCGTGGGACTTGAGAAATATTGATAGGATCAGCCCGTGAGCCAATAAAAATTAATTTAAAAATATAATATAATATTAAAATTAAAAATTAAAAAGACTTTAAACTCAAAATAATTAGATTAGTATTTCTATTTAGATATTTATACTTTATTTGAAAAAAAGTTTAATAAATATTATAAAAATATTTTTTTTAGTTGATTTGATTTACAAGTAGTAAAACTAACATCATGTAACATTACTTTGTCAATATTTATGATAATATTTTTATAATTTTATTTAATTTAACAATTATAAAAATAAATATAATTTTTTTAAAAAGTAAACTGGTCCGATAAGCATGTAACTCACGTATTTTGTAGGTTGGACCTATCATTTTCTAGCCATACAAAAATGAGCTAGCTCAGTCTGATTATAAAATTTCTTGTATAAAATAGCTCAAATAGCATGAATTAACTCATATTAGTGGCTCTAATAAAACTATACTAATATTTTTCTATTTTGATAAAGGGTATGAATAATACAATAGATAACTAACTCTCGACTTTTTTCTCTAATAGAATTAACTAGATAATTCTTCTCTAATTAGATTACTTGTGCGAAATAAAAAATGATTCTAAATACTCCTAAGAAAATATCAAATTTTCAATTTTTAATATTTTAACATCCTAAATAGTAATGAAAACATTTCCCTTTGTACAAAAGTCCAAACGCGCCATTATTCACAGCAACAATTAACCATCATGTGCAGAAGACTAATTGACCACGGATCGAAACAAAGCACGACAATAACGTATACATTGAATTAAAATTTGAACTTAAACGTGATAGTTCAAATCAACTCATTTTTATGATTTTAAGGAAAATAATTTATTTTAAAAAAATTAAAGAGAACATTTTTCAGAATTTTATTTCTATCCTTAAATTATAATATTTTTTCTTCTTACTCTATCCCGTACCTAGAGCCGTTAATATGGGTTAGGCCTGTTGGACCGGCCTGACCTAACTCAAAATTTTATAGGGCAAATTTTATATATAGCAAAGAAAAAATTGACAATTGTACGCTACAGCAAATATCCAAAATTGCATTCCATAGCAAATTAAAAGTTTGCTACGGGTGACTTTTTGTGTATAACAGTTAACAGTTATCTTCCTTTTATACAATTCAATTTATATATAAAAAAAATAAGCGGCAAATAAATAAGGAAAAGATTCCATAATTCACGTGACAGTTTTAGTTTCATTCTTTCTTTTTCTCCTTCACTTGTAATAGATTCAATTATAGACAATTCAAAAAATTGATCAAGATATTGAAGTAGATAAATTATACACTTATACACACAATTGTATAATGAGGCAGTAAATTAGGTAGTATAAGATATGAATATAAAACAGATATTAAGATATTATATATTTATATATTAAGATATTATATATTTATACAAGAACAATTGTATAAGCACAGAAACAGATACAAGAATTTATTATACATTTATAAAAATAGTATTGTATAAGGCATGAATCAACAGAAACACAAAACATATACTAATATAAATTATGCATTTATACAACTACAATTGTATAAGCACATAAACAGATACAAGAATTTATTATATATTTTATACTAACAGTATTATATAAGGCATGAATCAACAGAAACACAAAAACATATACTAATATAGATTATACATTTTGACAATTACAATTGTATAAGACATGATTCAACACAAAAACAAAACATATAATATAAAATCTAAACATATACATGAACAATGATTATACAAATACCTTATGATGCTCGATTGACCCAGAACCAACAACTTCATTTTTATCATTATGAACGGTATAAACATCATCTTTATGTTTTCTTTTCTTACTTGACCCAGTAACAACATCGACAAGATTCTTCACACCTCCATTAACAAATCTACTTGGGTCATTATTGAATTTGGATTTTATCTTCTGAATGGTAGTAGATTTAGACAATGAACCTGAGATCTCCCTAAATTCCTGAGTTAGACCAAATGAAAATGATGGGTGTTCAACATCAATCTGAACATGTAATGGTATACCTCTTGTGAATCTTTTCGATGGAGATTTGACATCCATTGATTGAACCAAAATTCTGAAGGAATTAACAAGTGAAGTGAAAGGTAGTTTTAAGAAATTAAAAAAAAATGAATAAAAATTGATAATGTGAGATGAGTTTTAGATAATACCTTGAAATTTTTGAGATAGTATGAAAAAACGCAATGATGTGTGTGATAGAAGAAGCTGGTAGTTTGAAATTACAATTATGGAGAAAATTGTGGAGAAATTGAAGGAAGAAGAAGAAATTGTGTTTAAAGCACAGAAAGAGAGGAAAAGAGGATTTTGTTTTGGAGGATTTTTTTTATACAAAATTGTGTGATCTAATATAACAAACTTACAAAGAGTTTGTCCTTTAAAGAAAATAACTGAAAGGGGGTTTATTTAATTTATTTACCTTCCTTAGTTTGTCATTCTCCACAATTTTCCAAATTTTATAAGGTTGAGCTACGATTTTTGGAGTCCATATAAGAAAGATTTTTTTAGCCCAGCTTCAATAAGTCTGCTAATTTGTGGGGCTTGAGAAATATCGGTAAGGCCGGCCCGTGGGCCAATAAAAAATAATTAAAAAATCTAATATAACATTAAAATTTAAAAATTAAATAGAGTCTAAACTCAAAACAGTTAGGTTAATATTTCTATTTAAATATTTATATTTTTACGTTAAAAAAAACTTAATAAATATTATAAAGATAATTTTAAAATATATATATAATTTTTTAAAAAGTGGCTGGCCCGGCAAGCCTGTAGCCCACATATTTGTGGGTTAGGTCAGTTATTTTCTGGCCCACACCAAAAATTGGCTAGCCCAACCTGACCCGTAAAATGTCGAAGCCTGTATAAATTTACCCGAATATAATGAGCTAGCCCAAATGACAGTTTTACCTGTATCCCTTACCTTACCTTTCCCCTATCAAAAGAAATTTAAAATTTAAAATTTTCTTATTTTTTAGATTTCAAATATATTTTGAACTCTAAAACCGAACCAAACTCCAAGCCATCTCTACCCCAACCTAGTGGCCGACCCCGTAAAAATAATTACTCCTATCCTCAGTCCCCCCCCCCCCCTTCCCCCACCCTATCAATATTTTTTAGAAAATTGTGTTTGGGAAATATTTCAGGATTGAAAGTCTTGGGTCGGATTTAGGAATGATGGTCGGGTTCGTATCCTACTTTGAGTGTCAAGGTTAGGTATTTGATCGTTTCGAATTAAAAATTATTTTTTTAAAGAGTATTTTCTAGTTCAAGCTAAAAATAAATGATATTTTTCATTCATTAACCAAACATTAAAAATATATTTGAAAAAATATTTTCTCTCACCAATCAAACATGAAAAAATAAATTACACATCAACATATTTTTAAAAAAAATATTTTTCTTAGTACCAAACACAACTTATATAAAGCAACAATTAGCCATCACGTGCAGAGGACTAATTGGCCACGGATCGAAACAAAGCACATCAATAACTTATACATCGAAATTAAATTTGAAGTTAAACATGACAGTTCAATTGAGGTAACATGTCATCAATTAGCCATTTTGCCAAATATTTATATGCTTCTTGTGTCATGTGTATTCCATCCCAATTTATGTAAGTGCTTGGGTTAGCACACACTTCAACTCCCGGAAATCCACATCTTCTTCGTATGTTATAATTATAATCTCCCCCTCCACTTCCACAACATGCTTTCAGTAGAGAGTTTTTATCGAATCCTGAAAATACATTTCAATCATAATTTTTTTAAAAAAATTAATCTCATATGAACTTTTGACCTCAAAAATAGGAAAAAGAAACCACATCTTTTTAGAACTTACCAAATCCAACTGCATTTTGTAAAAACCACATAAAGGCATTGTAGTAGTCACCATAAATCAGTGTAATGTTCGGATGTTTTTTCTTCATTTCATCAATAGCTTGTTGCAAATGATTGTTGAAAAAGATTGAGAAATTATTCAAATCTTTCAAACAATGATGTTCATCGTACGCATTTGAGTCGTCCGTCATGAATCGCGTTAGAAAAATTGGGACACAACCAATAGGAAAATTGCCTGGAACTATAATTCGAGTAGCCCCAAAATCGATGACCCTCTGAAAACAACAATTGAATGATTAGAAAACAATTTTAGATAAATTAAAATTCAAAAAATTTCATATCAAAACCTCACTTTAACGCCATGGATGATCGTTTGAATAACAATTGGCACCATTTTTCGCAACTCTTCGATGGATTTACCTTGTAATAAGCCATAATTGAATTCATTTCCTCCTATTTCTCCAACTAGGACAAGTGATTTCTTCAATTTTTTTCGACAATCTAACAGCAAAATCAATAAAACGTCCTATCAATTTGTTAATTAATCAGTTAACAATTAGCTAGAGACCTAAATTAATCGAATTACCAGTATTCCAGGTATTTTCAAAATGTGAAGACATCCAATCAAGTTGCACAGTTAATGAACTATTGGTAAATGCTGTATTAAAAATCTTATTTTCTTCCATAATTTCAGCTGATATACCAGTACACCCTGCTACTGCGAAATTCACACCATGTCTAAAATTTGCAATTCGATCCTTGTACGGATTTAGAAGCGGAAGACCCGATTCCAATGCTGTCACAATCATGAAAATACGTCATTGGAAAAAATAATTTGTCGAGCAGTTTTGACGAATAAAAACATTACCTATGAAATCAATCATGAGCATTCCATCAGAACAACGTCCCGTTGCGTTCTCATAAAAATTCATCCCATAAGGATGTTTTCTACAATCAGAATGAGATTCACAGAGAGGCTCTCTGATGCAATTGCCAGTATCAGAAATTGAGTCACCAAATTGATATATTTTATCAAATCTGCAATTTCTTAATCTTGGTTTTTGAAGCTTGATTAATTCTTGTGCATCGCTATTCTGTTGAATGATTACCAAACTGATCACTAAAATAACTCGTATTGCAAACGCCATTCAATTTTTTTTAAAAATAGCAATCTAGATCAATAAAAATCAAAACAAAAATAGTACTAGTAATTATTATCCCTTAATTATTAGTAGTAGTAGAGCCAGCTAGCAAGAGATTATTAAATTATCATTCTAATAATTTAAAAATATTACATGATAATACACGCGATTAGTTTTATGTATTTAATAAGCAGTTAACTTGTCTGTATTATTTCTTCTTTTGAAATAGTTCCCTTTATTCGTCATACTTTTTTTTTTAATTCGTTTAAAAAATATTTTCAATTTTAATAATAGCAAATAACTTGAACTTTAAATCTCAGTTTTGGCTTTAATAAAATAATTTATAACTATCTAAACGGTTAATGATATTTTAGAGGAGAAATTGATGAAGTTTTTTTGTTTTTCTTAATCTTTGTGCTAAGTGAAAATAATATCACATAAACAATATCAAATTTCTTGATGTTACAAAATAATAAATTATTTCTTAATTTTTTAAACTGAATAAATATTATTAGACATTTCAAATTAATATAATGAACCAGTAAATAAACGAAGAGTCTATATATAACCTATCTATATACCTATGTAGAAAAACTTAACCCCTTAAATCCAATTAGCTATTTGTGATTATAATTGATTAATCACTAGTTAACATATTCGCGCTTCGCGCGGACATTAGTAGATTTATGAATAAATTTTTTTGTTTAAATATATCGAGTCAAATATTATTATCATTAAACCCAATAAATTATATTTTTCAACTTGTTGTTCACTATCTATGCTTTTAGTATTTTAAATATAGTTGATTTCGTATAATCTATTTGGTATGTTATCTTTAGAAACATCTAAAGAAAGAAAAATAATTTCATGAAAATTTTCTTTTTGTTTATGCGGTTGTAGTAAATTCTAAATTATATTTTAAGAGGGAGTTAAATTATACAGTGATCATAAAAAAAAATTTAATGAAAAAAGTTACTCTAAATAAATTGATAACCAATAATTTAATAAATTAGAAAACATATCGTGCGTGCGTGTGTGTGTGTGTGTGTGTGTGAA